TTTCAGTTTTATTAGCAATCATAACCATGTGCTTTCAGTATGTACATGTATCTTATCGTATCTTTAATTTTGTGGTTGCTTTGTTTTGATCTATTCTTGTTTGCAGTTTAGCTATTTTATTTTTTTTTTTATTTATCTAGTATTATTTAGTTTTGTTTTTTGTTCACTTGAGCGTTTCTTGGTCTGGTTATTCAATAAAAGAGAAAAAAGTTAATTATTTTTACAGCAACCTTTTTAAAGCTGTTAATTCTCATTAGTAGGATCATATCTTATTTCATGAAACCGAAAATACAAAGTTAAAGGGATGAAATGACGTATTTATGTAATATTATCTTTGTATTTGTAAAAAAAAAAATAAATAATGAAATCATTCAAACAAAGAGTTTCCTCTATATGTCCATAGAAAGTATATTAATTATGGAAATAACCTTTGCTATGTATACAATACATGTATTTCTTTTTAATATAAAAATAATTCATTTGACAATTCAGATAAAAGAAATGTTAGAATTTTTAATTTTAAGTAAAATACTTTAATTTACTTAACTTGACCTATATTCCTTGACTTCTGTGGATGTAATAAGTGCACATTTTAAGACGTTTCCACACTTTCATTCATCTGCTCCCTGAGGTTCAACCAGACTCAATCCTGTCCATTCCAGTACGTGTATGTTATCTTCCCACCTCTTCTCTCTTCGTCGGCTCCGTTCTCCTTCAATTGTCCCTCGGAAGATTGTCCTTGCAAGGCTTCTTTGAGCGAGAAGTGTGTATTTTCCACTTCTTGAAAACAGTGAGGAGGTCATCGTTGGGTCCTATAAATATCGCTTCCAAAACTTTTCTGCGGACCTCTTCGTTGGTCATATGGTCTGTGTAGCAGATGTCTTGTATCTGACTGCAGCGTCCTATCTCGGTGCTCACCATCCTCTTTCTTACTCTGTGGTAAATGCCCAGGTTTCACAGGGGTGTTGGGTCTTTCTTCTAAAATTAAATATAACCACTTTTTAAGAAAATCAAATTGCTGTAATGTTTTAGTTTTTACATGTTAACATTTTTTGTTATAAATAAAAGCGGAATAGAATTTTTGTTTGAAAGACCCCAACCACGGAGTCTGATTAGAGTCCTAATCTTGAAGCCTACTTGGTATCATAGTTATGGTACCTAACCGACGCCATAAATGTATTCCAGGTGTCTTGTCACCTAACAATGCTGTGGTGGCCCTAATACTTAGAGCGTTATGTCCAAGGTACACCGGTGCCCTTACTATAGAGCCTTACTCTCTAACAGGTGTCTAAACCATGGAGGCTAATACCGTAACAGGTGCCCTAATACTTTGAGCTTAACGCCTTGACAGGTACTCTAATGGCATTAGATGTAAAACAGGGTATATATGGAGACAGATACTGAACAAATATAGCTTTTACTTGATATATAAAGTGTGACTGAACAAGCTCTGACGTTGCTTATAAAGAGCTTAAAGGCATGATCAACAATATTTTGTGACGCAGGGAATTCGAAGTTGCGAATAATCACTCATTAAGGATCGATTCCTTGAGCGAACAAAGTAACAAAATACTGATTTGACCCCCGCCTTCGCGAAAGCGAATGGACATTCAATATCATTAGTCTGTCAATCTGTCATAAAAACTTTAACCTTCGCCATAACTTATGACTAAATTGAGAAAGCGCTTTCATATTTTACATATATCACAATGATTACCTTTTCCAAATATACCATTATTTTTGACCATGTGACCTTGACCTTAAAGAATGGCATACTTTTCAAAAATTTTAACATTTCTTTAATTCGGTCACAGCTTTCGAAAGAGAAAAGATAGGAATTACTTATCAAACATGTATATTACCTATGATAATATTTTTCTAAATACATGTATATCAAAGCTTTTGACTGTGACCTTGACCCTAGAGTTAAAATGTTATTTTTCCTTATAAATTTTGAAGACAAAGGGCTTTCATATCTGACATCTGCATTACTTGTGTCAAAATGTTTTCGAGCATGCTATGAATTTTACCCCCTAGACTACACGTACATGCTAAAATTAATTAAACAAGCAAATTCAAAGAATTGTGGTCCCTCGCTTTCGGTGTCTTTTTGGGTGAGATGTCTTTTTTTTATGGCATTTTGTGCCTAATATGAACTCCCTATCATAAGTCATCTATATAGAAATTATCACTGAACTCCAAGGTCAAGGTCAAAGGGTTAACGTTCTTGGTATCCAATGAAGTCTTTTCAAAAGGATAACATATGTTAAGTATGAAAGTCATAGCCCTTACCATTCAAAAGTTATGGTCAAGGTTAAAGTTTTCTCGTAAGTACAAAAAATCACCAAGGTCAAGGTCTAAAGGTCAAGGTTGTTGGTATCAAATGAAAGGTCTTGCCACAAAGAATACATATGTGAAATATGAAAGTCCTGGTATCTACTGTTCAAAAGTTGTGGCCAAGGTCAACGTTTTTGAAAAGTAGGTCAAACTCCAAGGTCAAGGTCAAAGGGGCAAAGTTCTTGGAATTCAATAAAAGGTCTTCTCACAAGAATTATATATATGAAGTATGAAAGTCCTAGCCCTTACCATTCAAAAGTTATGGTCAAGGTTAAAGTTTTTTCAAAAGTATGGAAATCTCAAAGGTCAAGGTCAAAAGGTCAAAGTTGTTGGTATCCAATAAAAGGTCTTTCTACAAAGAATACATATGTGAAATATGAAAGTCCTTGTACCTACCATTCAGAAGTTATGACCAAAGTAAAAGTTTGAATTTTTTGTGCAAAAGTGGGACAAACTCCAAGGTCAAGGTCGAAAGGTCAAATTTGGTGGTACCCAAAGAAAGGTCTTGTCACAAGGAATGCACATATGAAATATGAAAGTCATAGCTCCTCTGAATCAAAAGTTATGGGCAAGGTTAAAGTTTTTGTGACGGACGGACAGACTGACAGACTGACAGACAGACGGAGAGACGGAGCGCGAAGCGGTTTATAAAAAAGCGTAAACCGCCCCAAGTTTTGTTATATCGTATAATATAAGTTGAAATAAGCTTCATGCATTCCTTATAATTTAATTTCAGTGCAGACAATGAGACAATTTTCCCTTAGAATAAGGATTTACATTAATTAAATTTTAAGAGTAACGTCAAGCGGAGTAATACGTTTTTTGACGTAACTCATTGTGACGTAGGCAAGTTATGCTATACAAAATGGATAAAATCTTTTATCCAATCAAATGACGTGTTACAAGTGAAACAAGCAAATTCAAAGAATTGTGGTCCCCCGCTTTCGGAGTCTTTGTTGGTGGGATGTTATTTTCTATGACATATTGTGTCTAATGTGAACATCCTATCATATGTCAATTCTTAGAAATTATCATTGAAGTTGATTTTTTTGAAGGAAGAAAACCCTTATCCTGACCGTTAAAAAGTTATGGCCAAAGTTAACGTTTTTCATGAGTAGGTCAACTCCATTGTCAAGATCAAAGGGTCAAAGTTGTTGATGAAAGGTTTTTTTTCACAAGGATTACATATATGTGAAGTATGAAAGCCCTAGCCCTTACCGTTCAAAAGTTGTGGTCAAGTTTTTACATAAGAATGTAAATCTTTAAGGTCAAGGTCAAAAGGTCAAAGTTGTTGATATCCAATGAAAAGACTTGTCACAAAGAATACATATGTGAAATATAAAAGTCCTAGTATCTACCGTTCAAAAGTTGTGACCAAAGTTAAAGTTTTTTTTTAAAGTAGTTAAAACTCCAATGTCAAGGTCAAAGGGTAAAAGTTGTTGGTATCCAATGAAAGGTCTTCTCAAAAAGATTACATATGTGAAGTACAAAAGCCCTAGCACTCACCGTTCAACAGTTATGGTGAAGGTTAAGTTTTTTCATAAGTATGTAAATCTCCAAGGTCAAGGTCAAAAGGTCAAGGTTGTTGGTATCCAATGAAATGTCTTGCAACAAGGAATACACATGTGAAATATAAAAGTCCTAGTATCTACTGTTTAAAAGTTGTGACCAAGGTTAAAGTTTTTAAAAAGTAGCTAAAACTCCAAGGTCAAGGTCAAAGGGTTAAAGTTCTTGGTATCCAATAAAATGTCTTCTCACAAGGATTACATATGTGAAGTACAAAAGCCTTAGTTCTTACCGTTCAAAACTTATGGTCAAGGTTAACGTTTTTTCTTAAGTACATAAATCTCCAAGGTCAAGGTCAAAAGGTCAAGGTTGTTGGTATCCAATGATAGGTCTTGCCACAAACTATACATAGGTGAAATATGAAAGTCCTAGTACCTTCCATTCAAAAGTTGTGGCCAAAGTAAAAGTTTGAAATTTCTGTGTAAAAGTGGGTCAAACTCCAAGGTCAAACTTGGTTGTACCCAAAGAAAGGTCTTGTCACAAGAAATACACATGTGAAATATGAAAGTCATAGCTCTACTAAATCAAAAGTTATGGGCAAGGTTAAAGTTTTTGTGACGGACAGACTGACAGACGGACAGACGAATGAGATTTAATGTCCCCTCGCTTTCGCGAAAGCGGGGGACAATTACTGATTATTTTAAATTGGTCATAACTTTTAAGAGAGAAAGGTGGTGCTTTCATCAGGGGCCTATATATACTAACATGTTAATACATATATATATATAGGTCCCTGCTTTCATATTACACTAATGACTTGTAAGTTACCAGTGTGAAAAAACCTTAAGTTTTTAATTATACGATGACTTTTTACACTGTTACCTTTCACTTTGAATTTATTCTACTTTTGAAAAAATGTGTATCTTTCCTTATAACTTTTGATTGAGGGGTTGTGACAAGATGTTATAGAGCATGCTATAGTGATTTTGATCCCTTCATGTTTGACCCAATTTTCAAAAATTTAACTTTGATGATATGGTTTTCCAGAATATTTGGACACTGAAAGCGGAGGATCACAATTCTTCACAGCTTAACGAAAAACGAATGACACCCCCACCCCCAAAAAACCCAGTACATTTCCCATCGGGCACGGCATACCATTTATATCTTTTTCCGGTGTAAACAAAATTGTAACACTACACTAATCACAATGCATTTTCTGCCTCATGTAAGATGGAATTTCGTGATGTTCACAGTGATTTCGTGTTTTATACTTCACTATGAAAATTCAGCAGCCAGTAATCTGAAATGTGAAGACCTGCTGATGGGACAGTACTACTGTAAAGAACCACTTATAGATGCGGAAACCCAGGTACTGTAGGCGTGTAGCGTTTCCCGAACACTGCTGAAGTCAAGAATTACAATCTATCGTCTCTATCGATAAAAAAAATATTTATTGAAATTTTATGTTCACATTCTATCCAAATGCTACTAAATAACTTTTGATGCACTATAGTTTACATTTAGGTTTTTACAGTCGTTCGCTATGCTTTGAACCTTACATTTGTACAGTTGTACATGTAACATACTTGTGGGAACTGCTTACCATGCTTCCTTAATCATACATAAACATAGGCTGATTTCTGATTTAAGACTTAATTAGCTATATAGTTGAATTTAGTGATTTTCATGCACCTGTCAATATGTAGGACTATTACATAGGTAATTGTACTTCAGACTGTACTTGAATGGTTGAATAGATGTGTTTCAAATATATATTTATATAATATGTTGATGGTGCGACCGATAGGGCGAGCGCAGATACTTATCCAGTTTTCATTTAGATTGTGCTTGTCAAACCGCACAACATTCGGTGCGTCTCAGACTCTGACGACACATGACGTCGTATGCAAGTTGCTTTACCAAACCAAAGCCTGAACAGGGCTGATTTTAATGAAGAACTGTTTTGTTGACTATTTTCCTGCAACAAATTCATGAAATCAAGGCAAGTTTATTATTCCTTTAACTTTTGTTCTTATTCTCACGAGAACATTGCTTTAGCTATTGTGTATGAAGCGATGCATTGTGGGTTCAAATTACTGCGGAAAAAAATATACCGAATGAATGTGCAGTGCCCAAATTTTGTCTTCACCCAGGTGTTGCTTTAAGAGCTCGCAGTGATGAGCGTCACTTTGATTTACACTACTTTTCTACTGCGCTCGCTATTAAACATGAAGTTGTGTAAACACATAAAAGTAAACATTTTAAATAATACAGTTTGATCATGGTGTAGCGGACAGTATATAGGGAAGTTATACTTCCTTGCTAGTGAGCTAGCTTTCTAGTTATGCGGTAGAGTCTCCCTCTATTTCTGGCAAGTTAAGCATCAGTGAGTCTGTTCAACCCCTGGTTGGGATGATGTTACAATAAATGTACCTTTTTTTTTTTCAAAATTATCATTTCATGTATTCTAAAGATTAATAGCTTCTTCTTTGGTTTTAAATCAGGCAGAGGTTAACTGTGAATCAAAGACAAAAACTACACCTACAGAATGCATCATAGCCGAAGGCATCAAATGTATTCCACAGCATTCAGAAACTCCTTACACCTTCAATGGAACTGAAGTTGGTTTTTACAGACATGTGCCGTGCAGATGGACTAATGGATATAACTTTGAGACTGCTTTGCTTCTGTCTGTATTCCTAGGGATGTTTGGTGTAGACAGATTTTATCTTGGATACCCTGCAATTGGACTTCTGAAATTTTCTACTTTAGGCTTCTTTTTCCTAGGACAATTGATTGATATATTGCTGATAGCTCTGCAGGTGGTGAAACCCTCAGATGGATCTGAATACATCATGAACTACTTTGGTGTTGGATTGACTCGGATTCAGACAAATAATGATACTTACATCAAACCAGATGAATCCTGGAATATATCATAAAAAATAATTAAATCATTGTTATACATATATTTTTTTTATGAGTTAAGATTTAAGTCATCTTATCATCCCCATTTTTTACATTTTTTAACATGTATGTAATTGGTTGGCTTTCACAGTTGTTTTTCTCTTCATCCTCTTAAAATTCTTTGCTGTAAATCAATGTAGTGTGTATAGTATATATTTATTATCTCTGCAATGATGTTTTTTAATGTACTGTAAACAAAGATTTTTCACAAGTTTTACTCACAATTTTTCAGTTTGTAATAAATCAGTGACTAGTAAATCATTCTAAAAAATACACAAATGAATTATTCATTGCTATAAAATATTGTAGTAATACCTGCAATTATTTTTTTCTTTCCTAGCATATAGAAGTTTGTACACAATACTGGTGATTACTTGGGGTTCGACCTGAAAGCAACTAGAAATAGCCATAATCTTTCAATCAAAGTATGTCTTAAATTACCAGTAATTTACAGTTCATGCTCACGTGACTTTGTGAGCCTTTACATACACGTAATTGATGTTTTATATATTTTTTGCCATATTAGATGTGATTATTTCACAGTGGTTTAACTTACGAGGGCCGTTCAAAAATTACGCGGACTTGTTGCACAGAAAAAATATTTGACGACATAATTGGACAAAATGTCACACATAATATAAAAGAATCTTTACTTATATGGTCTTCAGAATTTCATATCAAAATGTTGTAAATTGGTATCAATTTTAAGTGATTTATCAGGACATATCATTGAGTCACGGAGCAGCAAAATCTTCGACGTCACGGGCATTATAAAAATATGTGATTGAGCTTTCATTTTCTAAACATTTTCCCAAGAGTACCTGTATAGTTTGAGTTACCTTATCTACTTAACATCCAAACACCATTTCTTCTCGAGCTTAAAATCTATTAAACAATTCAAGAATATTCTTTAAAAAAAAAAAAACAAAAACAAAAATTGCAGGTATTTATGAGATATAGTGTGATATTGGTGACACTCAATCACGTACTTTACAGTCCGAATAAAGTTTTCGTCGATAACCTTCTTCCTGCCCTCCCGTATAGCATTTTTACAGAAGTCTAACGGTCTAAAATTTCATTTGCTTTTTGTGGACGAATGTCACGAAAACCCTAGTTTACTACATGTCTTATTATGCATATTTTGGATCAATGTTGGCGATATATCGAGCATTACACATATTTTAACAAAAATGTGGTGCGCCGTCAGTTCAGGAGACGTCATTTTCACAGTCGTTTTCATGGGAATCGCATCGGAGAAAACCCACTCTATTTCTGTTAATACTTCAAATATCATAACAGAAATCTAAATACATAATTAAAGAACAATTTAAAGATACATTTGAGAAAATTGTCGAAAAATATCGCTAATTATAGAAAATTAATGAGTTAAATTTTTTGATTCCGCATGCTTTTGCTTCAGATTTTTTGTCGTGCTCCGTACCTCTCCATCAGCGATCTCAACATACCGATAATTTTCGTAGAATTTTTTCTAAATATAGAAATTTTGCCCAAAATGTATTGGAATCATTAAGATACATATTTCTTTGAAATTTCATAACTATATGACGTCTGTAAGAGTAAATAATAGTACAGTCCGCGTAATTTTTGAACGGCCCTCGTAAATTGTCATGTTCATATTTATTCAACATGTTTGTGAATAGTTTATAAATTTGAGCAAAATAATTAACTAGAGTTGTAACATTCACAATGGAAATCCTTATTAAAAACTGAAATTTAATGTATTTTTTTTTATCTTTTCAAATACTTTACATGTAGAGGGCTAAAGGCCAAGTGCTGATATTTTTGGAAAAAGCACCCTTCTTCATCATATACATACATTTTGTATGGTTGGGTGATATCCAGGAGTAGAGGTTTTCAAAGAATTTTATGCATTTTTTACAATATACATGTGTATTCACTATTCAAAAGAGCCCCACCTTAGCCGCTCACCAAGGGACTGTAAATTTCACGAGTAAATGGAGAACAAAGCTGTATTAAGAATTGCACAAATATTTATTTCCACTACCTTTGTGAATTTCTGGTCCACTTGGTTAAGAGTTCTAAGGCTGGGTGTGAAGGGCTCTATTTGTATTCATGCATCTACAAGAAGTTATTCCCCATTACTTTTCACCTTTGATAGTTAATAACAGTTTGTGCACTATTAGTAATCAAATCTCATTTCCTCTAAGATTGGCCTCTCTTAATGCTCTTGGTCTTGGAAGAAAAACAAGCAAATTCAAAGAATTGTGATCCCTCCCCCCACTTTCAGTGTCATTGTGGGTGAGATGTCATTATCTATGGCATATTGTGTCTAATATGAGCGCCCTATCACAGGTCATTCAAAAATAATCATCAAAGTTGATTTCTTAAAGAAATTAGGTCAAACATGAAGGTCAAGGGGTCAAAAATCATAGCATACTCAGAAATATCTTGTCAAAAGTAATACACATGTCAAATTTTAATGCCCTATCTCTTCTCTATCAAAAGTTATAAGGAAAAAATAACATTTTTGAAATGTAGTTAAAATGTACAGATCAAGGTCATGGGGTAAAAAATCATAGTGTATTTAGAAAGGTCTTGTCACAGGTAATACAAATGATTAGTATGAAAGCAACTCTTCTAATTCTAAAGTTTGGCAAATTTAAAGTAATGTTTTAATTTATGATATGTAGGTAAAACTCCTAGGTCAAAGTCATGGGGTCAAAAAGCATATTGCATTTAGAAAGGTTTTGTCACAGGTAATGCACATAATTATGTAATTTGAAAGTCCTATCTCTTCTCATTCAAAAGCTATATGTATGATCAAAGTTAAAGTTTTTGTGATAGACTGACAGATGATTAAAATTTGATGTCCCATCGCTCTCTTGAAAGAAGGGGTCAATTGTCATTGTGAATAGCAAAGGGGAATAACTTTTCTACTTCTAGAATATTTGCCCAGCACCTGAAAACAAATGGTCAAGAATTTCAAAATATACAAAAATACCCTAGCTAGCTTACTTTGACATGTATTCTGTATGTCTTCTAGATGCCTGGAAGCAGAGATGATATTCAAAGATCAAAGATATGACAGCCAATTTTTAAAGCTATTTTTGAATATTTTATATAGAACGCAATTAACCTCTGATCTAAAGTAAGCAAACAGTGAAAAATAGATAGCACTATTTCTGAGGATTACATGTTTTATTTTTTAGATCAGAATGTGTGCTAGCTGCAGATCTGTAGCATTATGGTTTTATATATTTGTCTTTGACCATAACGCTACAGATCCGGTAATGCAAAAAAGGTGCAACTTACGGGGCAATATTTTTTGCGCACTTTTGGGGAGAATTTCTCCACTTTCCAGCATCAGTACCAATTTACTACCTTTCACACCCTAATTCTAGGCACATTATTTAGCTAATCTGTATATTTATCCACCTCCCAACCATTTATTATTATGGCGTTGAGCAAAGCTCGATCGTCATTTAGTGATCGGTCAGATTTACGCGACCGAATATATCAGTGGATGCATTCGCATTGGATTATGCGCCATAAATTGCACTTTTTTTGCATTACGGGATCTGTATAGTGTAGCGTTACGGTCAAAGATATATATATAAAACCATAATGCTACAGATCTGCAGCTAAGGGTGCGTTATTTTTTTTCTTCTCTGAAAGTACTCAAATATACCTGTTTACATTAAAATTCAAGAACATCGCAATTCCCTAAGCTTGTGTTCCAAGACATGGAGTTTAAGGATGCAAATTTTAATAGGAAATGAAAGTACTAAGTCTCTACTTTATTTTGATGTTTAAAATGGAACATAAAGTGTTAGTCATTTAAATGGTATATCTACTGGGTCATTTTATGTTTAAAGTGAACCGAGCTCTTTGTAACACTGGCTCTTAAGAACCCCTGACCCAGGGGCCACAATTTTCACAAGTTTGGAAGCAACACACTGAACAGTCTGTTTATCATATCACTTACACTGTAAGATTTTCTAAGAATAAGAACTCTTCTCCCCCAACTCAAGCTAAGCTTATCTGCTAAATACCAAAGATGAAAGAAAACGATTTTCAAAGAAATAAGATCATTAATATGACTATTTAAATGAGAATTTTAAAAACGCTATTTTGTATTTATTTCTGAAAATGTGGGACCATTTATTAAAAATACAATCAAGAAAATCAACTGCAATATCTTTGATGTAAAGATTAGCTATACATCAAAGGTTCTAGATCTCCAAAACAAATAATAATAAGAGGTATACTTTCATTAATATATACATATTCTTTTAAACATTTACATACAAATCAAGTTTAACTTTGATGAAAACCGGAATTGTTGAATTTATGAGCTTACTCATATTCCTCATAGTATTTCATTCATACAACTATATTAATCCAGTGCTAAAACAATTTACTTATGAAATACATGTTGTACATAAGCACCTAATCTTGTCTCCTCTAGATCTTTTAAACCTCTTGACAAAATACAAGAAACATTAATATACATTTTTTTTTTATAAAATGTTCAAAACTTTTCCCAACATTATCAACACATTGTCCTGCACAACTGAAGGTTCATGCTTTGTGAACAAAATTTCTATAGCATATAAAAAAAATTATGAAACTAAAAAATTTGATTTAAAAAAATTAAATAAAGCAAAATGTGTTTAATTGAAATATGTGTATTGTACAATTTTCACAACAGTGCCAAATTTTTCTTTGACTGATTTGAATGAAGAGAAAGAATGAGAGAAAATAAAGCAATATATCCATCTCTGATCTTATAAAGTTAAGATCGTAAACTATGTTTTAAATTAGCCATAGACTATAGCCAGTTCAATTTAACACAATATTCTATGTTTATTTGAATGAAAACATGATGTATGATGTACCCCCTTAAAGTGCACATGAAGTCAAGTGTTTTAAATTGGGGGGATCCTTCTCTGGAAAAGATGACACCACTAGGATATAGAGAAAAATACTGTATGCAAACTTTTTCCACCAGGATTTAATTCTGTGCAATAACAATTTCTGTTTACTTGTAATTTCTCAAGCAGAGAATGATATGTGAAATTCTTGGATCATCATTATAATTCCAAAAAATGCATTCTATGCACACTTAAAGTTCTGCAGGAAAAAAATCAAGATATGTTTGTGAAACACTGATGCCCCTGTATGGCAGCTAGCTTATTGCGAATTTTGAATTCTCTCAAATGCATGTCAAAATCCAAAGGCCAAGGTCAAAAGGGTTTGTACCCAAAGGGAGATCTTGTTACAAGCAATACACCTGTGAATTATGAAAGCCCTAGTTTAAACAGTTCAAAAGTTATGACCAAGGTTAAAGTTTTAAAAAGTGGGTCAAACTCTTAGGTCAAGATGAAAAGGTCAAAAGTATTTATACCAGCTGAAAGGTCTTGTTTCAATAAATACACATGTGAAATATGAAAGCCCAAGCTCCAACACTTCAAAAGTTATGGCCAAGGTTAAAATGTGGTATATTTTTGTAAAAGTTGTAGGTCATCCTCCAAGGTCAAGAGGTCAAATTTGGTGATACCCTAAGAAAGGTATTGTC